ACGTATACTCTATGGAATACTATTCAGCCATTAAAAACAACAAAACCCTGGCTTTTGACAGAAAGTGGAAAAATATGGAAGATTTACTGCTGAGTGAAGCAAGCCAGGCTATGAAGGAGAGACTCTGTATGTCCCCACTTAATATATACCGAATGTCCACACTCTATAACTGAAACTGACGGGCTAAAGGATGTACAAACACAAGAGGTGGATGTGAATGCCAGATGTAGTGTGTGTGGAGGAGTGGGGACTGGGGAAGAACATTTGGAGGAGGGATACGAAGACAGCATTGTTGAGACAGGTTGTTATATTTTTATCAACTCGACCGGGTAGAAATGTTCATATATTGAAAAGATCACCTTGTAAGCTAAATAATGTGATTGAATGTATTAAAAAATGTAAAATAAATAAGTTAAAAAAAATTTGAAACCATACTGCTTCTCTTGTTATAGAGTCATAAAATTATACATAATTATAAGACATATTTTGAACATTATCTTTAAAATTCAGTATTTTGAAATTCTGAAAGTTGTTTGTAAACTGTCAAGAATTATGGAGTATGAGCTAAAATTTTTTGCTATGTAAAGTAAATGTTTGTGGAAAAATGTAAAAATAAATAAATGAAAACAAACAAACAAACAAAAACAACCCAGCTCTTTCTTTGATTCCCTCCAAAAGGACTAAGTAATTCATTATGGGACCAGCAGATGGCCCACTGATTACACTGCTGGACACCCACATGGCCAACAGTAGTTCAAGTCCTGATAGAATTGGACTTGGTATGAATTTTTATAGGTAATTAAAGGGGAAAGTGTATGCCCTCAGTTAAGTTAAAAACTGTTTTCTCTGTAGGATTGTTTTCTAGCTTGAAATATATATATATATTAATACTACTTTTATTGCCTGTTCTTATTTGCTAGTGTTGTATAGTATTCTGTTTTATTTATATTTTTATTAATTTTTAAAAGCCTGGAGGCTTAAAACTCACACCGGGGTGTGGGCATGTGCACCTGTAGCCAAAATCTCAAGAAGGAGGTGGAAAAGGAATTGTGGTGTGGCCACCTCCCCCAAGGGAGTGAGTCTCACTTTCTATTTGTCTCTCCAGCAAGTGCACGTGCCCTATAGCAAAAATTACTGTTTAAAAAAAAAATTCATTATAAAAGCTTACCATCATTCCATACTAGAATTAGAATACAGAATATTACTAACTATAGCTACAAGGAGCAGGCTCATGGAAGGATGGAAATTTTATGAAATATGAGTACAAGGAAGATCAGTTGTTCTTTTTTAAGAGTATCTATTCACAGACTAAGGCTTACCTGTCACAGTTCAAAGAATGTTGCTTCCTCTTTCTTGGAGTAAAAGCTGCCATCTTCTTAAATTAATTCCTAAAAGCAACGGAACAATTCTAGTAACTAAACTGATCAAATAGGTATAAAAACCACTATATCAAAGTATGCTTTAAAAGTCTGAGAAGTTTTTCACATGGCATAAAGAGATGGGAACCAGCAGTTAGCATAATGGCTATGTCGCTGGACTCCCACGTAGTCCACCGCAGTTCGCGTCCCGGACCCGGTGGCTTAAAACTCACACTGGGCGTGTGTGTGTGCATGCCCAAGATCCTGAGAGGAGAATGGAGGAGAAGGGATTGCGGCGTGACCATCCCCCCCGGGGGTGATTGCTCTCTTTCTGTCTCTATGTCTTTCTCTGTCTGTCTGGCGAGCGCAAGCACCCTATAGCGAAAACCTCTCCAAAAAAAAAAAAAAAAGAGATCAGAAAAAGGCTTTTAAAAATTAATAAAAATTTAAATAATCTAAAACAGCATACTACACTACACTAGCAAATAAGAACAGGCAATAAAAGTAGTAATAATATATATATCTCAAGCTAGAAAACAATCCTACAGAGGAAACAGTTTTTAACTTAACTGAGGACACACTTTCACCTTTAATTACCCATATGAATTCATACCAAGTCTAATTCTATCTTCTGGGAAGCCCTCCTTGACACTGCTCTCATTTCACCCTGGCACTGTTAAGATGTCCTTAGTTTCTACTGCAGCCTAATGCCTCCTTGATATTCCATTTAACACATTTTCTTGTTGTTTAAACATCTCAACAGCCGGTAATGTGTTCCATGAAAGCAGAAATCGTAACTTTTCATCAGAGCCCAGCAAAAAAATAGGTAAAGCACGTTCCTCTCTCTTTGTACCACCTGAGGAGCCCGAGGAAGCTGCTTGTCTCGTTTATGTAACACTTCGACCTTCTAAGGCTGCGGAAAATACACAACCGCGAACGTTAACTCTCAAGTAAAAGATATGTTGTTCAAAAAAAAAAAAAAGTTGACTCCTTTTCCTTTGGAAATAGAGATATTCTTCCCACAAAAGTACACAAGTGTGACTTCGAGGCTAAATAAACAAACACACCAGGGTCTCTGGGAATTAATGTCAAGCTGCAACTTAAGGGAAGAAAGGTGTGAGCAGAGCGGCCCTCTCCCCGATCCTGTCAGGGCACAACGCCCGCGTCAGGAAGTTGGAAACCTGGTGCCGCCAAAGGCAGAGAACCGCTGCTAGTTTCGGTCTTGGGCCCGCGGAGCCCAGAGCAAAGTCTTTTTTCTTGACATTCTTTCCCACGTTCCAGAACCTCCTGGGACTCCCACCCTCCGCCTTACCCTCCACAGGGGTTACCTGCGCCTCCGAGCAGGAGTCCTCTCCTCAGCCAAGCCAGTCCCTCCCGGGCTATATTCAAATGATCGCGCGCCAGTCTAGGCGGAAGCCGCTGCGTGCGGATTCGTGGCCGCTCAGAGCTTCCAAGGGCTGTCTCGGTGATTGGCCGTTCGCTGGACCATGCCCCGCCCACCTAGAAGACGTCATCAAGATTCTCCCGCCCTAGGAAAACCACAAGCGTCTCCTCTGGGAAACCACGTCTCCCACAACCCCTTGCAACAATGTCGGGCTACGTTCCGGCCCCCGTTTAGGTGCATTCTGGGGATTGTATTTTTTGGCCCATTGGAACGCTCGGTACAGTTCTGAGGTCTCTGTAAGGTTTTGTAAATTAGCCTCTTGGGGATTCTTAAGGCATTTATTTTCACGTGTGAAACTTGATTGTTAGTTTTGCCTTTTAAAGTTGGTAGTACTCTAGGTGCCTCTTCAATTTTTTTAAACTTTTCTATGTCTTTATTTAGTCACCTTCCCCAATACAAGGCTCTTTTAAAAAAAAAATCATTTTGGCAAGGGGACAGCAACCATAAATGATGAAAATACTCATATCTGTAAGTGACTCATGAAAGGTTTTACCCGAATATGTAAATGTATATGTTACTTTACATATTACTGTCATTTATCTTTTTTGTATTTTTTCTATCTAGTTTTATAATTTTTTACATTTAATTGTTGTACATCTTTGTGGGCCCAACATGCATTTTCAACCTTTTTCAAGGTTTTTGCCATACAGCACGTAAACTCGCCAGAAGGAGAGAGAGAGGGAGAGAGAGGGAAAGTGAGAAATCCCTGCCTTAGGTGAATGGTCACGCTCTAATCACACACCACTGTGTTCACCCGTTTCCACTGAGTTCAGGACATATTGGCAATCAGCCACCAGGGATCCAGCGGCCTTAACCACCAAGCCACAGGCTGCCTTGGGATGTGCCTTCTTCAAGGTTTAGTTTGATGATTGGCACTTTGCATCAGTGAATCCATTTTGATTTGGTCCGGTGTGTTGAGAACTAGTGCAAGAAATCAGTCCAAAATATGGTCTCATATATTTTTTAACAGAGACCAGAATTTGCCCAGTGGAGAATAACAAATACAGGAATTTGTTTCATTCAAAAATGTATGACCTCTTCCTAAGTGCTAAGCACCTGATAAGCTCAGTAGAAAAGGTACCAGTTTCTGCTCTCATAGAGCCCATAGTCGGGTAAGAAAAAGCAGATAAAATCAACTAATAATCCTCAAGACAGGACCACTCACTCGATGGAAAATAAGGTCCGCCAATAGCATTTTTCTTTTACAGATTCAAAGAAGAAGAACTTTCTTCCTCCCTGTTTTCCAACCACCAC